AACTGTATTCTACAATTACCAGTAAAGGGTTGCTTGGAAAGTCATCCTGCCACAAGTGATGGCAGGTCTCTTGGCCCCTCCAGCTGTAGGGGGTAGTATCAGGTAGGGAGGAGTCCTCTGGAAGGCTACATCTTCATTTCCAGGAAAGGGCAAAATACTTCTCTTTCCTTTCTGCTGTCCTGGTATAGTGACAATCCTATTTCTCCTCTTAAAAGGAAGGTGAAGAACCTCTGGACAGGAGTAATTTGCACTTGTTTAGTAAACAAGTACTGAATTGAAAGGAGATTTAACAGAGTGAACCCTCTTAACGTTTTGTCTGTACTTACACCAGGGCTGTGCAACTTCCAAGTGACCAGGGACCATTTTGAGTGGCCACATGCCATGCAGGCTGCATGCCCCTCCAGGCCATGTGTACCCCCCACCCTCACCTTCTGCACCATGGCATGCTGTTTGGGGTTCCCAATTTCTCCCCAGACTTCTCCAGCTGTGGGCTCCTTCAGGGTGGGGACAGGCAGCAGGAGGGAGGCAGGCTGGAGACACTAGTAGCAGCAGCAGGAATGTAGTGAAGGCAGTAACACTAGGACCGGGACTCGCAAGCCACAGTTTAACCCCTAGGACTGGATGTGGCCTGCAGGCAGCTAGTTGAACAGCCCTGACTTGCCTCACTGCATTACTAGAAAGCCTGGCAGCAGCCAGCATTGTCAGATGCTTCTGGTGGCTCTGCACGGCTCCACGAGGGTGGAGATGTGTTGCCTGCAGAAGGGAATATAGCAGCTCAAAAAGCGTGTGCAAACTTCTACATACGCCCTCTGTTGGCTTCCAAATGGGGGAGGGGACCCTACCAGCACAACAGTGGGTTCTGCCACTACCAAGGAGCTCTGGGCCCAGATATGCAGAGTTTTATTCAGAGAACTGGATTAAACCCTGGAGCAGAAGAGAAAGTTATTGTCTACAGTACACTAGGATTTTCTGCAAGGGTACATCTACACTGCTGTGATTGAAGTGCCAAATAGACATACCTAAACTAGCTTTAAAACCAGCTTGGGTACCAGTAGCAGAGTAGCCACAGCAACGCAGATCTCAGTATGGGCTGCAAGACTCATATAAGCTGGGAGAATACTCAAATGAAGGGGGCAGGGCAGTGGTTAGGCTCTGTGGTGCCAGATTAGACTGACATGACATTCCATTCAGGTAGTTCAAAGGCAATTCTGGTGATTGCAGGATAGACCTACCTAACGTTTCTTACCATATTATGGTTTGTGCAGATCCAGCAGTGGTGACAATCGTGCACATCCATAAGATTGGGAGGTCTAAATGAAATGGCGATTAAGATATGGGGGCCTTGTCTATCCTTCTGTCACTACTGATAGAGTACCACAGAATACAACAGTGGGCATTATAAAAAAAAAAGTTAATAAAGCTTTGTATTATATTATATAAACCAAACAGGTTGATACTGACCAGTCCTGGGGAGGAAATGTTATCATTCACTTCATGAGAGAAGCCATAATTGGAGACCATAGTAATATGTGCTGCATAGAAGCAAGGAATGTCTAGACCAGTTGTTCCCAAACTGACAGACTGTGCACCACCAATTTAAAACAATACAACCTTAAGTACTACCAGCAAATTTCTGTCATATAAAGTAATTATAATAAATCTGTTAACATGTAC